GCGTACGTGTCTCTGCGTGCGTACGTGTGTGTCTCTGCGTGCGTACGTGTGTCTCTGCGTGCGTACGTGTGTGTCTCTGTGTGTGTACGTGTGTCTCTGCGTGCGTACGTGTGTCTCTGTGTGCGTACGTGTGTCTGCGTGCGTACGTGTGTGTCTCTGTGTGCGTACGTGTATCTGCGTGCGTACGTGTGTGTCTCTGTGTGCGTACGTGTGTCTGCGTGCGTAGGTGTGTGTCTCTGTGCGTACGTGTGTCTGCGTGCGTGTCTCTGCGTGCGTACGTGTGTGTCTCTGCGTGCGTACGTGTGTGTCTCTGTGTGCGTACGTGTGTGTGTGTCTGCGTGCGTACGTGTCTCTGCGTGCGTACGTGTCTCTGCGTGCGTACGTGTCTCTGCGTGCGTACGTGTGTATCTCTGTGAGCGTATGTGTGTGTCTCTGCGTGCGTACGTGTGTCTCTGTGAGCGTACGTGTGTGTCTCTGTGAGCGTACGTGTGTGTCTCTGTGAGCGTATGTTTGTGTCTCTGCGTGCGTATGTGTGTGTCTCTGCGTGCGTACGTGTGTCTGTGTGAGCGTACGTGTGTGTCTCTGTGAGCGTACGTGTGTGTCTCTGGGTGTGTACGTGTGTGTCTCTGTGTGCGTACGTGTGTGTCTCTGCATGCGTACGTGTGTGTCTCTGCGTGCGTACGTGTGTCTGCGTGCGTACGTGTGTGTCTCTGCGTGCGTACGTGTGTGTCTGTGAGCGTACGTGTGTGTCTCTGTGAGCGTACGTGTGTGTCTCTGTGAGCGTACGTGTGTGTCTCTGGGTGTGTACGTGTGTGTCTCTGTGTGTGTACGTGTGTGTCTCTGCGTGCGTACGTGTGTGTCTCTGCGTGCGTACGTGTGTCTGCGTGCGTACGTGTGTGTCTCTGCGTGCGTACGTGTGTGTCTGTGAGCGTACGTGTGTGTCTCTGTGAGCGTACGTGTGTGTCTCTGTGAGCGTACGTGTGTGTCTCTGTGTGCGTACGTGTGTGTCTCTGCGTGCATACGTGTGTGTCTCTGCGTGCGTACGTGTCTCTGCGTGCGTACGTGTGTGTCTCTGCGTGCGTACGTGTGTCTGCGTGCGTACGTGTGTCTCTGTGTGCGTACGTGTGTCTGCGTGCGTACGTGTGTGTCTCTGTGTGCGTACGTGTATCTGCGTGCGTACGTGTGTGTCTCTGTGTGCGTACGTGTGTCTGCGTGCGTAGGTGTGTCTCTGTGCGTACGTGTGTCTGCGTGCGTGTCTCTGCGTGCGTACGTGTGTGTCTCTGCGTGCGTACGTGTGTGTCTCTGTGTGCGTACGTGTGTGTGTGTCTGCGTGCGTACGTGTCTCTGCGTGCGTACGTGTGTGTCTCTGCGTGCGTACGTGTGTGTCTCTGCGTGCGTACGTGTGTCTGCGTGCGTACGTGTGTCTCTGCGTGCATATGTGTGTCTGCGTGCGCGTACGTGTGTATCTCTGTGAGCGTATGTGTGTGTCTCTGCGTGCGTACGTGTGTCTCTGTGAGCGTACGTGTATGTCTCTGTGAGCGTACGTGTGTCTGTGTGAGCGTACGTGTGTGTCTCTGTGAGCGTATGTGTGTGTCTCTGCGTGCGTACTTGTGTCTGTGTGAGCGTACGTGTGTGTCTCTGTGAGCGTACGTGTGTGTCTCTGTGAGCGTACGTGTGTGTCTCTGGGTGTGTACGTGTGTGTCTCTGTGTGCGTACGTGTGTGTCTCTGCATGCGTGCGTGTGTGTCTCTGCGTGCGTACGTGTGTCTGCGTGCGTACGTGTGTGTCTCTGCGTGCGTACGTGTGTGTCTGTGAGCGTACGTGTGTGTCTCTGTGAGCGTACGTGTGTGTCTCTGTGAGCGTACGTGTGTGTCTCTGTGAGCGTACGTGTGTGTCTCTGTGTGCGTACGTGTGTGTCTCTGCGTGCATACGTGTGTGTCTCTGCGTGCGTACGTGTCTCTGCGTGCGTACGTGTGTGTCTCTGTGAGCGTACGTGTGTCTCTGTGAGCGTACGTGTGTCTCTGTGTGCGTACGTGTGTCTGCGTGCGTACGTGTGTGTCTCTGTGTGCGTACGCGTGTGTCTCTGCGTGCGTACGTGTGTCTGTGTGCGTACGTGTGTGTCTTTGCGTGCATACGTGTGTGTCTCTGCGTGCGTACGTGTCTCTGCGTGCGTACGTGTGTGTCTCTGTGAGCGTACGTGTGTGTCTCTGCGTGCGTACGTGTGTCTGCGTGCGTACGTGTGTGTCTCTGTGAGCGTACGTGTGTGTCTCTGTGAGCGTACGTGTGTGTCTCTGTGAGCGTACGTGTGTGTCTCTGTGAGCGTACGTGTGTGTCTCTGTGAGCGTACGTGTGTGTCTCTGTGTGCGTACGTGTGTGTCTCTGCGTGCATACGTGTGTGTCTCTGCGTGCGTACGTGTCTCTGCGTGCGTACGTGTGTGTCTCTGTGAGCGTACGTGTGTCTCTGTGAGCGTACGTGTGTCTCTGTGTGCGTACGTGTGTCTGCGTGCGTACGTGTGTGTCTCTGTGTGCGTACGTGTGTGTCTCTGCGTGCGTACGTGTGTCTGTGTGCGTCGTGTGTGTCTTTGCGTGCATACGTGTGTGTCTCTGCGTGCGTACGTGTCTCTGCGTGCGTACGTGTGTGTCTCTGTGAGCGTACGTGTGTGTCTTTGCGTGCATACGTGTGTGTCTCTGCGTGCGTACGTGTCTCTGCGTGCGTACGTGTGTGTCTCTGTGAGCGTACGTGTGTGTCTCTGCGTGCGTACGTGTGTCTGCGTGCGTACGTGTGTGTCTCTGTGAGCGTACGTGTGTGTCTCTGTGAGCGTACGTGTGTCTCTGTGAGCGTACGTGTGTGTCTCTGTGTGCGTACGTGTGTGTCTCTGTGAGCGTACGTGTGTGTCTCTGTGTGCGTACGTGTGTCTCTGTGAGCGTACGTGTGTGTCTCTGCGTGCGTACGTGTGTCTCTGTGTGCGTACGTGTGTGTCTCTGCGTGCGTACGTGTGTCTCTGCGTGCGTACGTGTGTTTCTGTGTGCGTACGTGTGTCTCTGTGTGTGTCTGTGTGTGTCTGCGTGCGTACGTGTGTGTCTGTGTGTGTCTGCGTGCGTACGTGTGTGTCTGCGTGCGTACGTGTGTGTCTGTGTGTGTCTGTGTGTGTGTGGAGCAGTCATGTATCTAAGTTTAGCAAATCTACTTCATATGAAATAAAAACGTGTCACTTTAGTATAGGGCTGGGAAAAACGATTATTTTTTAACGATTAATGTAGCGATTCTTTTTCCGTCCGGTCTCTGGGAATTCATGTTTTGAAAGAACACTCGCGGCGAGGCACCTGCTGTTGTTTCCTGTATGAACTCTGCGAGCTGCGGCGCTCTGGACAGCGGTTCCTCCAGCGGCTCTGATCACGGCCAACGGCGCCGAGTAACGTCATATCTAAGACCGTACACCACAGAACTATTCTCTGATTGTAGTGTGCGTGTCTTTGTGTAACCGGTACACACATCTACAGCGCTGAAGCTGGACTACAGAGCCTCAGTCTCCTCCGTGTCTTCTCCTGAAGCGCACTCGCTAAATTAAAGCTGGGGTACCTAATTTTCCCTTCCACTACCAGTTCATGTTGGTTGTGCCCAAAAAGTACTGGTGTGAGCAAATCAAACAGATGTAATGACATTGTGCCTCAGACTGTTTGAAATGTCCCTCATCTGTAACAAACACTAGTTTTGGTGACTACAAATACTTTACACATGTATCTTTCCATTCAAACAACCATTTACAGAAAAATACGGCATCATTTTGAGATAGTTTGAAATGCGATAAAGTATGATTAATTAATCTTTAAGCTGTAATTACTCAATTAAAAATGTTAATTGTTGGACAGCCCTATTATTTACATATCTGAATGAAAAAACATGAATTCCTTAACAAAATATATTTATTGCTCTTCAAATTCAAAAAGACAAGAGCAAAATAATGTATATATTCAAAATAATTGTAAACTTGGGGGTTTTACGCTAATACAGAAAGTGCTTGTCCAACCAAAAATAAATAGTGAAAATAAGCATTCAACAGTTATGTTGAACATAGGCCTAGCTTTCTGAAAATTCATTCACAAATAACAAATAACAACTTAGACTCGGACACTTTCCTTTCCCCTTAAGAAAACTGTCTGTCTCTCTGTCTGCGCGTGAACATGTGCCTCCAGCCCGAGTTGTCATTCTCCCATGACTGTAAACTAGTGCAGCTAGCATGCTCACCGATGCAGAAGTACGTCTAATAATAAAATAAACTTATTTTATTATTACACATACTCCATGAACACATACTGCTGTTATATAAAGTCACAGTGAACACATACTGCTGTTATATAAAGTCACCTCCATGAACACATACTGCTGTTATATAAAGTCTGTGAAGGTCTCAGACACAGAGACGCTGCAGAGCTGCATTATTTGAGAAGAACTTTACACAAAAAGCCGCTAGCTTAACTCCGTTAGCATCAAAGTCCGCCCGCTACTTCTGCCACTTCCGGCACGCGCCACCGCAGCAGGACTTCTGGTCTGAACACCCCTACCGTCTGAAATTGACTGTGCGGGGAAACTGCGTTCCAGCGTCGGCGGTCTGAATGCCCCAGACGGCACCCGCATTGCTACTGCTGCTACTACTCGCCGCCATCTTTGGTTTGAGTCTGACGAATCAACGCGCATATTTTGCGTCCACGTATTTTTTGTGTTGACGTCATCGATTACGTCGACGCGTTGTCCCAGCCCTACTAAGGACACAACCACAGTCCTCTCATACACTTCCTCCAGCTCATCAGACCCCAAGGTGTTCCTGCAGAGAGAAATAGTCCCCTCTGTGTCCTGGGGCTTCCTCTCCCTCTCTCTCACCCCCTCCCCCCACTTTCCCCTTTCTCTCTCTCTCTCTCCCTCCCCTTCTCCCTCCCCCTCTCTCTCTCCCTGGTCTCTCTCTCTGCTCTCTCTCTCTCTCCCTCCCCTTCTCTCTCTCTCACCTTGAACCTCTCAGTGTCCGAGGGGAATATGATGAAGTGCACGTTTATGGGCTGCTGTGATTGGCTGAAGTCTCTGACGGCGTAGAGCATGATGCGTGCTGCCTCCTGGTCACTGAAGCCCAAGTTCCCCGTGCCAATGGCGGGGAACGCAACAGAGCGGTGCTGGTAGGAGACAGCGTACCTGAGACAATCCTGAACACTTCGGTACATCATCTGAAACACACTTCCTGTTTATACACTTGAAAAAAAAAACTTGAAATTATAATATATCAATATAATATATATATTGCTCCACCCCTTACCAATCAGATCCCTTCTAGCCAATGCATGGTTTCATTGGTTGGAGGAGAGCAGTTCAGGGAGTGCTGTGGGGAAGCGGTGCAGGAGTGGCTGCAGGAGCCTTCTATTTGTGCCAAACAATAGTAGTAGTAGTAATCTTTATTTATATACCGCCTTTTCACTGCAGATCTGAGTCTCAAGCGGTTTACAATTGTTAATTTTGGGCATTTGTCTCTCACTCCACACAGAGATGGGAACGGGGCCAGTACAGGAGGCACATGCCAGAACTATTGGACATATTTTTAGTGGTAGGGGAAACCGGGAGTACCCGGAGGAAACCTACGCAGACACGGGGAGAACATGCAAACTCCACTCAGAAAGGCCCTGGTCCGACCAGGATTCGAACCCAGGACCTTCTTGCTGAGAGGCAAGAGTGCTATCCACTCAGCCACCGTGCCGCCCAGCTGATCAATAGTGATCAGCTCGCTTGTGAGGAGCAATACAAGCAATTGGCCAGGTTTTGACCCTGATGGCGAGCTGAAGGACCAGGCCTAGAGCCTACAGAGCCCATTGGATCTTGAGTCGCATATTCGCATCTCCCCTGCTGGCCGGTAGGGGGCTCCTTGCAGCCCACAAACTCTCTCCCCACTTCGCACAGAACTTTTGCCAATCCACTTATCCACACCTCTCTCGCAAACTCTTGTGCACCGCCTCCCTCTGGTCAACTGGTCAGACCCAGAGTGGGTTATTGATGAACTGTGCCGCGGGCTGGTATAGTGTTTTGCTGGTTGCTTTTGAATGTGAATATTGTGTAATCTTTTCTATACATTAGACTTGTGCAGTGCTGAATGATTATTGATTGAAACACGTGTTAGCATTGAATGGCCATAAAAGTTTGTGTATCACTTTATTGTTTGTCAATTTGTCTTTTGTTAATACATGGTACCAACCAAACTAATTCAGTCTCCTTCCACTCCCTCCACTTCTGATTACTAGCCTATTACATTACTATTACATTCTTATGACACATTTATTACATATGACTTACTGTATTATAACTATATTCTGAGATTTTGTAGCTTCTTGTTTATTCTACTTAGTTTACATATTATTTTATGACACAGGGGTTGCTGTGTGTGTGTGTGTGTGTGTGTGTGTACCTGGTCAGATCCAGTCATGGATTTGAATGGGCAGCAGATGTGGTAAACTTGTTTGCAGTCCAGTTTATGGCCTCCTGTAATGACCACAGACACAGAGGAGAAGGGGGGGTGCTGGTAGACCTCCATCTGCAAGTTGTGGCCTGCTTTCTTCAGTAAACGCCCCAGACACTAAACCCATGTTCAGGTTTTTGTCCAATCCTATGGTGTTCACGATCACATCCACCTGAGAACCAGAGCTGAGGACCAAGGAGGGATCAGAAGGACTCAGGGACCAGAGGTCTCTCTGGTCTCTCTCTCTCGCTGGTCTCTCTCTCTGGTCTCGCTGGTCTCTCTCTCTCTCTCTCTCTCGCTGGTCTCTCTCTCGCTGGTCTCTCTCTCGCTGGTCTCTCTCTCTCTGGTCTCTCTCTCGCTGGTCTCTCTCTCGCTGGTCGGGCTCTCTCTCTCTCTGGTCTCTCTCTCGCTGGTCTCTCTCTCGCTGGTCTCTCTCTCGCTGGTCTCTCTCTCGCTGGTCTCTCTCTCGCTGGTCTCTCTCTCTCGCTGGTCTCTCTCTCGCTGGTCTCTCTCTCGCTGGTCTCTCTCTCTCTGGTCTCTCTCTCTGGTCTCTCTCTCGCTGGTCTCTCTCTCTCTGGTCTCTCTCTCTCTGGTCTCTCTCTCGCTGGTCTCTCTCTCTGGTCTCTCTCTCTCTGGTCTCTCTCTCGCTGGTCTCTCTCTCGCTGGTCTCTCTCTCTCTGGTCTCTCTCTCTCTGGTCTCTCTCTCTCTGGTCTCTCTCTCGCTGGTCTCTCTCTCGCTGGTCTCTCTCTCGCTGGTCTCTCTCTCTCTGGTCTCTCTCTCGCTGGTCTCTCTCTCGCTGGTCTCTCTCTCTCTGGTCTCTCTCTCGCTGGTCTCTCTCTCGCTGGTCTTTCTCTCTCTAGTCTCTGGCCAGGAATGCGGACGAAACTGGGCCTTGGGTTGTTTAATAACGTTACATAATATCCAGGAGGAGGTGAGCGGCGACAGTGAGGCAGAAAACACAGAAACAGTCGTGATTTTCGTGAATAAAACTTGATGTAACTTTAGTTTTTCAATGTGATCTAATTGTTTTGCGTCGCTCCGTTACTAGGATTCTAAGGACACCAGAGAGACGCGACAGATTGACGCAGAAAAAACACATATAATCAAACTTCCGCACATAATAACACTTTTAAAACCAGCTCTGATCAAACACGACGCAGAATTATCACATATGTGTCCAGTTTTGTCGCCTTTTTTCACTGTTTTCCAGCCTCAGCAACAAGTGTGCGCTCGGTTTATCCTAGCTCGTTAGCTGTTAGCATGTAGCTAACGTTTAAATCCCAGCACCGCCCGCGTTAACTCCCCACTCACAGCAAAACAAACGCCACCCTTAAACCATCGCCCATTCCACTGGCTCCACCGAGGACACTTGTGTATCTCTGCGGGGATTCAAGGCTCAAACCCCGGGTAAATACTCACGCGAGGACCCCGGCGTGAGCTACGGCCGGTGGAGGGGCATGGCGATGCTGTGGCCGCGGCTGGAGGCTGGTTCTCGGGGTGTTTTCGGGGATCTTAAACCGAAACGGGACGGTCCGAGTTTAGTCCGGGTCCAAGCGAGACTCCCACAGGAATCTACGTCACCGCAAATCCACACGCACACGCACACGCACACGCACACGCACAAAACACACACACGGACAGAGCGAGCGAGAGAGAGACACACACTCACCCTGGTCTCTGTACTCTCTCTCTCTGGTCTCTCTGCTCTCTCTGGTCTCTCTCTCTCTGGTCTCTCTCTCTGGTCTCTCTCTCTCTGGTCTCTCTTCTCTCTCTGGTCTCTCTCTCTCTGGTCTCTCTTCTCTCTCTGGTCTCTCTCTCTCTGGTCTCTCTTCTCTCTCTGGTCTCTCTTCTCTCTCTGGTCTCTCTCTCTCTGGTCTCTCTGCTCTCTCTGGTCTCTCTCTCTCTGGTCTCTCTCTGGTCTCTCTGGTCTCTCTCTCTCTGGTCTCGCTTCTCTCTCTGGTCTCTCTCTCTTTGGTTTCGCTTCTCTCTGTGGTCTCTCTCTCTGGTCTCTCTCTGGTCTCGCTCTCTCTGGTCTCTCTCTCTCTGGTCTCTCGCACCTTATTCTCAAACATTCTAAACAGTGACTTTAAACCCGTTTTATTTATACGTCCAGACAAAAAGAAACACGTATGGAACTTGTACGTATTTGTATTGTAACCCAGTAAATATGACCAATTTTAACTTTTCTCACGACAGAAACTAGTTGGAAATATGGGGAGACACAGTTTCAGATTTGGAACAGTCTTCCTGAAAATGTGAGACGGGCTTCTTGTTCAATTCCAGGTTAAAAACATTTCTGTGTCACTGTGTTTACAAAATACAACTGAGGGATTGTATCTTCACTGTTTATAATGCGCTGCGATTATTTATGGTTTTACCGTTTTTCTTGTTTTGTTCAGTACTTTGAGTTGTGTATGAACTGTGCTAGAAAAATAAACTTGTCACTGCTGATCACACTCGGGAAAGATGTGTTTTTGGTTGCAACAGCTCCAGCTGGCGGAGAGAGAGTGGAACAGCAGGACTCACGTATTATCCGTTTAGATGCGTGTATTGAGAAATGTTTCATGAATTAGGCAAAAGTTAACTCTCTGTGGATGAAGAGACACACAGAGGCTGAACATTTATAAACACATGGGAGAGACCAGAGAGTCCAAAGAGAGAGAACAGAGTCCAGTGAGAGAGAGTCCGGAGTGACACTAGCGAGAGACCAGGGAGAGACCAGACAGACGACCAGAGAGAGACCAGAGAGAGACCAAAGACACAGAATGACGACAGTGCGGCTCAGGTCACAATTCCTGTTTATTTAAAGATTTGTCATGTACAACACTGTATTTACAGTCAGCCGTATTTACACACACCACACACACCTGCACAACTCCACAGTCAGAGACAAGAATCATATTAGAATCAGCTTAAATTAAAGTCAGGCCGCTGTGTTCCTCAGGTCAGTAGGAACACACACACAGACAGATGGACACACACACACACATCCAGTAAACATCTCAGACTTTTTGTACCAACAAATCTCAGATCCTTCTGTACCACAGCAAAGACCTGGTCCAGTCCTGCTTCAGACCTGGTCCAGTCCTGCTTCAGACCTGGTCCAGTCCTGCTTCAGACCTGCTGAACTCTTCCAACTCACTTCCACAGATTCAGACTTTTTCTCTTCAGTTCCACAAACGTCTCCTCAAGTGCATGTGACATCACAGTGACATCACGGTGACATCACGGTGACATCACGGTGACATCACGGTGACATCACGGTGACATCACGGTGACATCACAGTGACATCACGGTGACATCACAGTGACATCACGGTGACATCACAGTGAACCTTTACACCGATTGTGCTTAGATCTGTGCAACAGCACCAGCTCATGTGGACTTTAAAGCTGGGGTCTGTAACTCTGTATTAAACCCATGTCTCTGGTTCTGGCTCTTTAGATCAAAGAGAGGACCTCCCTCACTCAGCCAATCAGCTCTCAAAGTTACATACCCCAGCTACACACACGCACACACACACAAACACACACACAAACTTTGTTCCAGTTTTGGCAGATTTTTGAAACAGCAGTAGATTTTTCCAGCAGAGAAACAGGAGCATAATAATGAAGCTTTGAGGAGCGAGGATCTGAGCTGGTCTGATCTTTGGACTCCTGCCTTTAGTCCCAAGTCCAGACCTGGTATCGAACCTAGAATTTTCCGACTCACATTTGGCGAATCTGAACTGGATTTTCTCTTGCCCCAGATCTTTCAGTTCCTTCCAGTCGGACTCTTTCCCAGAGAACATGTTATAATCTTGGCGTTTCGTCCAGCTGCTAGCTTAGCCGTCTCCCTAATGCTAACCTTAATCATGTGAATATTAACCTCAGCTCGAGACGAAACACCAATATTTTACTGAGCCCCAACATTTTCGCAGCCAGAGATGATTTGTACCGAAACCAGAAGTGCTGATGCTAGCAGTGAGCTAGCAGTGAGCTAACAGTGAGCTAGCAGTGTGTTAGCTAGTCCACCAGCCGCACTCTCCTCTCTCCACGCGTGACCGTTCTACTGTCTCCCTCTGTGTTGTTTTAGTGCAGACCTAAAGAGTCTTTTGCCGAATCAATTAGAAAAGTGTATAAAGTGTGAGGGTTTTACAGACTTAAAACAGCTGCTACTGAGAGGATTTACCTTATTGTAGGTTTTTTTTAGAACACATCACCCCTGCGTGAAAATAAACAAATATTTTGAAAAATCCGCAAAAATTATGTTGAAAATGACTTCATTTGGACCAACTTCAGTTTAAGCGGTCTCTAGAGTCCTGGGTCTACAGCCTCAGTCCTGGGTCTACAACCTCAGTCCTGGGTCTACAGCCTCAGTCCTGGGTCTACAGCCTCAGTCCTGGGTCTACAGCCTCAGTCCTGGGTCTACAGCCTCAGTCCTGGATCAACAGCCTCAGTCCTATTATTATTGTATTTCCTGTATATGAACGGTTGATTCTCTGATCTGTATTCTGGGACTGGCCTGGGACTGGCCTGGGACTGGCCTGGGACTGGCCTGGGACTGGCCTGGGACTGGCCTGGGACTGGAGAGTGTGGCTGGTGGAGGGTGTGCAGGGTGAAACCCAAAAGCAGGACCAGCGGCTGCAAAACTCAAAGATAAATACAAATATAAATAATGCTTAAAGGTCAGTCATTTTGAAATCCTCATAAATACAGCGTGTTAGTAAAAGCAGGAGCGCGTACCACAGCTTGAGAACCACCTGTCGTAAAAACCAAATCAAAGTAAAAGTTTCAAAGTCTCGGCGTGTGTGTGGTCCACAACATCGCTCCAGTAGAAAAGGATTCTTCGTTTGGCACTAAAGTCTGATCCGCCTAAAGTGCAAAGTGCTTCCCCCACGGACTCAGTCCAAGACCGGAAAACTCTGCTTCTGTTATGGCACAGGTCAATACACATCCAGGAGAGAGACCAGAGAGAGAGAGACCAGAGAGAGAGAGAGCAGAGAGAGAGAGAGAGAGCAGAGAGAGAGAGAGCAGAGAGAGAGAGAGAGCAGAGAGAGAGAGAGCAGAGAGAGAGAAAGCAGAGAGAGAGAGAGACCAGAGAGAGAGAGACCAGAGAGAGAGAGAGCAGAGAGAGAGAGACCAGAGAGAGAGAGAGAGAGAGAGCAGAGAGAGAGGAAGCAGAGAGAGAGAGAGCAGAGAGAGAGAGACCAGAGAGAGAGAAAGCAGAGAGAGAGAGACCAGAGAGAGAGACCAGAGAGAGAGAAAGCAGAGAGAGCGAGAGCAGAGAGAGAGACAAGAGTGAGACCAAAAACTCTCAAACTATCAGGCCCAGCCCAAAAGTCGGAAAATTCAGACATTTTTTTTCATTGAAATCAAAAGCGTGAGATTCGAGTCGGAGCAAAAATCAAAACTGAGAAATTCATTCCAAAAAAATCTGTTGCATAAAAAAATTCTAAAAAACGTGGTGAATCCGTTCCCGGTATTCCCAGGTTTCCCGCAGAGTTCAGAGCGGCTCCAGTGCTTCCGGATCAGAGCTGGTTCTTCCCGGGTCCAGACCGGAGCTCTCCGCTTCCAGACTCGACGTTCCCGAATCCAAACTGGACTTTTCCGTCTCTGGAGCTCGTTTTGAGTCTGAAATGCTTCTCCGTGCGTCGCCCTCTGCTGGTTCAGGAGAGGACTGCTGGCTGGTTCTGACCGGATTCTCCAGACCCAAGCCCGGACAAATCTCTAGACCTGTTTTGAGTTCTGTGTCTCGGTGGTTTGAGAGGTTCTTCTCAGAGTTTTCCCGGTCTACGGCCTCCTGGCTTCGGTCTAAATCCGGCTCCGGAGAGGATTCTAGACTCTCCTCACTTTTGTCCATTGTGTGGTTGGGAAGGCTGGTGTGTGGGTCTCGCTCGGGATTGTAACCGGACTGAGTGAGGTCTTGAAGGTCTGGGTGGGACTTGCTGGGGTCTGGGGTGTTTGACGGGTCTTTGCTGGGGTCTGGAGGATCTCTGCTGTGGTCTGGAGGGTCTAGGTGGTCTCTGCTGGAGTCTGCATGGTCTGAGGGGTCTTTGCTGGGGTCTGGAGGGTCTAGGTGCTCTCTGCTGGGGTCTGGCGGGTCTAGGTGCTCTCTGCTGGGGTCTGGCGGGTCTAGGTGCTCTCTGCTGGGGTCTGGCGGGTCTAGGTGCTCTCTGCTGGGGTCTGGCGGGTCTAGGTGGTCTCTGCTGGTTTGGCTGCAGACACTGGTGCAGTCTCCCTCCGTCTCGTCTTCGGTCACCTCCCCCACGTCCAGAACTTCCACCTCGCACTCATCATCCTGGACACAACATCATTCAGACAAGTTAAAACCGCAAGCAGGGATAAAGCCACCCCCCTTCGGAGTTCTCATTTGTCTTTTGGATCAGAAGAACTCAGAGGAACCTCCCGCCAAGTATCAATTAATTATGATTAAGTTGTTATTTTTGTTCTTAATAGGCTCTCTGGCCTGGGACTCTTTCTGGTCTTTCTCTGGTCTCTCTCTGGACTTTCAGTTTGACCCCTGACTCTGGACTCTCTCTCTCTGGTCTCTCTCCCTGGTCTCTCTCCCTGGTCTCTCTCTCTGGTCTCTCTCTCTGGTCTCTCTCTCTCTGGTCTCTCTCTCTCTGGTCTCTCTCTCTCTGGTCTCTCTCTCTGGTCTCTCTCTCTGGTCTCTCTCTCTGGTCTCTCTCTCTGGTCTCTCTCTCTGGTCTCTCTCTCCCTGGTCTCTCTCTCCCTGGTCTCTCTCTCTCTGGTCTCTCTCCCTGGTCTCTCTCTCTGGTCTCTCTCTCTGGTCTCTCTCTCTCTGGTCTCTCTCTCCCTGGTCTCTCTCTCCCTGGTCTCTCTCTCCCTGGTCTCTCTCTCCCTGGTCTCTCTCTCCCTGGTCTCTCTCTCTCTGGTCTCTCTCTCCCTGGTCTCTCTCTCCCTGGTCTCTCTCTCTCTGGCATCTCTCTCTCTCTGGTCTCTCTCTCTGGTCTATCTCTCTGGTCTCTCTCCCTGGTCTCTCTCTCCCTGGTCTCTCTCTCCCTGGTCTCTCTCTCTGGTCTCTCTCTCTGGTCTCTCTCTCTGGTCTCTCTCCCTGGTCTCTCTCTCTGGTCTCTCTCTCTGGTCTCTCTCTGGTCTCTCTCTCTGGTCTCTCTCTCTGGTCTCTCTCTCTGGTCTCTCTCCCTGGTCTCTCTCTCTGGTCTCTCTCTGGTCTCTCTCTCTGGTCTCTCTCTCCCTGGTCTCTCTCTCTGGTCTCTCTCTCCCTGGTCTCTCTCTCCCTGGTCTCTCTCTCTCTGGTCTCTCTCTCTCTGGTCTCTCTCTCTGGTCTATCTCTCTGGTCTCTCTCCCTGGTCTCTCTCTCCCTGGTCTCTCTCTCCCTGGTCTCTCTCTCTGGTCTCTCTCTCTGGTCTCTCTCTCTGGTCTCTCTCCCTGGTCTCTCTCTCTGGTCTCTCTCTCTGGTCTCTCTCTGGTCTCTCTCTCTGGTCTCTCTCTCTGGTCTCTCTCTCTGGTCTCTCTCCCTGGTCTCTCTCTCTGGTCTCTCTCTGGTCTCTCTCTCTGGTCTCTCTCTCTGGTCTCTCTCTCTGGTCTCTCTCTCTGGTCTCTCTCTCTGGTCTCTCTCTCTGGTCTCTCTCTCTGGTCTCTCTCTCTGGTCTCTCTCTGGTCTCTCTCTCTGGTCTCTCTCTCTGGTCTCTCTCTCTGGTCTCTCTCTCTGGTCTCTCTCACCTCCACGTCGTCCTCGTGCAGCTCCAGCAGATGGCGCTGTTCCTCCTCGGCTGATGTCACGGTGGTGCTCTGTGATTGGTCGATGGTCCTGTCTGTCTCTCGCGATTGGACAGATCTGTGCAGAGGTTTGACCCGCCCCTCATCGTAGACTTTAAGGATCGCCTCACACACAAACCGGTACTGACTCTGAACACACACACACAGACACACAATTATTAAACACACACACAATGATGGATGTGTTTCTCTGCTCGACAATGAGAACCTATCAGTCCATCAATGGTTTTTCCACTGTGTGGTCAGAGAGGGTCCTAGTCGGACTCCTGGTCCTTGTCATGGTCTCGACCCTGGTCTGGATCCTGGTTGTTGTGGTCTCGGTCCTGGTCTGGATCCTGGTTGTTGTGGTCTCGGTCCTGGTCTGGATCCAGGTCGTGGTCTAGGTCCTGGTCTTTGTCCGGGTCCTGGTTGAGGTCTGGGTCTTGATCGGGGTCAGGAGGATCTAGGTGAACTGGAGGGTCTCGGTCAGGCATGTCCAAATTCTGCCTTTCTAAGCCACAGCAGTCTCTGAGATCATAAACACAAGTTCACTGTGTCATCCATCCAACTTCAGCTCAGCCAATATAGACCTTGTTCTAAAGCCCAGTACGTCTGGATTTCAGTCGTTGACTTTATTTGTACATTCTTTACCAATATGGTTTTTGATTGTCACAAACTTTTGTTAATGGTGCTAATGTAGCTGTGAGATGGTAAACATGTGTCATTCAGCCAACTTCAGCTCTTTTATAGATCATTTTAAAGCTCAGAACAGCCCCATGCCAGTCCAGACAGTTTTTCAGTCCGTAACATTGGTCCCTGGACTAGTCTGGAAAACTAAAGTGGCCTCTTATTGAAATGTTTGGTCGTGGTCTGGGTCGTGGTCTAGGTCGTGGTCATGGTCGTGGTCTAGGTCCTGGTCATGGTCAGGGTCGTGGTCTAGGTCGTTGTCGTGGTCCTGGTACCGGGGTCTGGATCATCATTGCTCTCTGGTCTCTCATGGTCCTCACGATGTCCAGAGGAAACACAGACTGTCCACACTCCATCAGACACAGGGCCGTCTCCATGGTAACCAGGACACCAGTGCGACCGATGCCCGCGCTGAAGCAGAGACAAGAAGGTAATGAGTCTCTGGTCTCTCTCTGGTCTCTCTCTGGTCTCTCTCTGGTCTCTCTCTGGTCTCTCTCTGGTCTCTCTCTGGTCTCTCTCTGGTCTCTCTCTGGTCTCTCTCTCTGGTCTCTCTCTCTGGTCTCTTTCTCTGGTCTCTCTCTCTCTGGTCTCCCTCTCTGGTCTCTCTCTCTGGTCTCTCTCTCTGGTCTCTCTCTCTGGTCTCTCTCTCTGGTCTCTCTCTCTGGTCTCTCTCTCTGGTCTCTCTCTCTGGTCTCTCTCTGGTCTCTCTCAGGTCTGGTCTCTCTCTCTCAGGTCTGGTCTCTCTCTCTCAGGTCTGGTCTCTCTCTCTCAGGGCTGGTCTTTCTCTCTCAGGTCTGGTCTCTCTTTCTTAGGTCTGGTCTCTCTCTCTTAGGTCTGGTCTCTCTCTCTCTCTCTCAGGTCTCTCGCTGGTCTCTCACATATTACCTGCAGTCACCTCATCATTATGACTCCTCCTCGTCCTGTCACCTCCTCGTTATGACTCCTCCTGGTCTCTCACCTGCAGTGCACCACCACCGGCTGCGCCTCTTCTTGACTCGAGCGCTTGCTTCGCACCAGCGTCACCAGGTCCAGGAAGTCTGTGGAGTCGTCCGGAACCCCATGGTCCGGCCAGGCCAAGTACTGGATCTGTGTGAGCGCCCTCTGCTGGTCACTCTGTGGAGACACCAGGAGTAAAGGAGGCGTATAAGAGAGAGAGAGACCAGAGAGAGACACCAGATAGAGAGGCCAGTGAGAGAGAGACCAGAGAGAGACAAGAGAGACACGCCAGATAGAGAGACCGGACATAGACCAGCGAGAGAGACCAGAGAGAGACCAGTGAGAGAGAACATAGAGAGAGATCAGAAAGAGAGAGAGACACAAGAGAGAGACCTGAGTGAAAGACCAGAGAGAGACCAGAAGGAGACCATAGAGAGACCAGAGAGAGACCAGACCTGTTTGTGCGTCAGCGTCATCTCTCGCACCAGAAACGCCGCGCTGCCCTCCTCGTTGTGACAAGTGACTCTGAAGCCGCCGTAATCAGACGAGTTCTCTGGGTTCGGCCAGTATTGATGACACTTCACCTGGAACCAGAACCAGAGAGAGTGTGACATCACAACAGTGTAAACTTTAAGGCAGAAGAAGTCGATTTGAACATAAGCTGTGGCCAGTTTCCTTATTTGGGCAATGGTTCTGACGATATTAGCTTTGTTGCTAAGACGGTTGCTAAGACGGTTGCTAAGGCAAGATGGAGTTTACATACAATAGGGGCCAGAGAGAGGGGCCAAACTTCACTTGAGCTAGCATGTTAGCATTGAGCTAGTGGGTTAGCATTGAGCTTGCGGACCTGGTCACAACAGAGAATACACTCTCGACCTGGTCACCCACACTCACAGAGATCTTAATTATGGACAGCGCCTCCTTCTGGAGAAATTCACTGTCTGTATATTTTTAACCTTTTCTTTAACCCTTTGTATCAAAGTGAGAGGTGGCCGACGTAAAGCAGCTCCACATACTCCCAATGTCCGGTCTCTTACCCTTCCGCGCTCCACCTGCGTCGTCAGCATCACCAGCAGAGACGAGCCCTGCTCCCACGTCATCTGCCAGAAGTCTGCGCACGTGTGCGGGAGAGGCCCCTGGCAGGCGATGTACCGGTTTATCCAGGAGCACACCTCCATCTGCAGGAAAAACACACAGTGATGGGGTTTATCCACAACCAGAGGAGCACAGACTGATGCCAAATAATACAGTTTATACATGATCCACAGCAGAGGACACACCCTAGACCTGATCCACAACAGAAGACACACTCTAGATCTACAGTAGTAATAATAATATAATACATTATATTATTATAGAGTGTAGCGCTTTTCAGGACACTCAAAGACACTTCACATGTCATTATTCTTTCACTCCACATGGTGGTAATAATAATAACTACTGTAGCCACAGCTGCCCTGGGGCACACTGACAGAAGCGATGCAACCAGTATGTGCCATAGGCCCCTCCGACCACCACTAACCATTCACACACACACCAGACTCATTCTAGGCAATGTGGATGAAGGACACAATGACAGTTTGGCGCTTTACAACCGCCCCACTGTGGCACCTGGTGTTCCCACAGGTCTCCCATCACAGTACCATCCAGGCTCTGTACAGCTTCAGAGGTCTGACGGGATCTGGCTTTAGAAGGCAAGAGCTGATCCACAACAGAGGAAACCCGCGGTAGTCCTCTGAACTAATCACAGCAGTGCAGAGACCAGAGAGAGCCACCAGAGAGACCAGAGACCAGAGACAGAGACCAGAGAGAGCCACCAGAGAGACCAGAGACCAGAGACAGAGACCAGAGAGAGTCACCAGAGAGACCAGAGACCAGAGACAGAGACCAGAGAGAGCCACCAGAGAGACCAGAGACCAGAGACAGAGACCAGAGAGAGCCACCAGAGAGACCAGAGACCAGAGACAGAGACCAGAGAGAGTCACCAGAGAGACCAGAGACCAGAGACAGAGACCAGAGAGAGCCACCAGAGAGACCAGAGACCAGAGACAGAGACCAGAGAGAGCCACCAGAGAGACCAGAGACCAGAGACAGAGACCAGAGAGAGCCACCAGAGAGACCAGAGACCAGAGACAGAGACCAGAGAGACCACAGAGAGAGATCAGCGAGAGGGAAGAGTTTGCACATGTTTCTACCCTGTGGATCATAAAGGCCCCTAACGACTGGACTGGTGGCTCAACTCGGGGGATGAGGGGTCAGAGGTCAGGGCTCAGGACTCACGTTGATGTAGTTTGCGTTGATGTAGTCGTCCGTGCTTTTGAGAATCACTCGTGTGGCATCATCTGCAAAAACACAAGTCAAAGATGTAACTGAAAATGAGTGGAGGGAGAAGGAGAGGAGAGAGGAGGAGGGAGAAGAGAAGAGGAGAGAGGAGGAGGGAGAAGAGGAGAGGAGAGAGAAGATAGGAGAGGGATGAGAGGTGAGGAGAGAGGAGGAGGGAGAAGAGGAGAGGAGAGAGGAGAAGGGAGAAGAGGAGAGGAGAGAGGAGATAGGAGAGGGATGAGAGGTGAGGAGAGAGAGGAGGGAGAAGAGGAGAGGAGAGATGGGAGAGGGATGAGAGTAGAGAGATGAAAGAGGAGAAGAGAGGAGGAGAGAGAAGATAAGAGAGAGGAGAGAGAGGAGAGGAGAATAACTTACAGGGGGAGATGTCTCTGTAGCGGTTCTTTGTCACGTTCTGAGGTAACTTGGCACACAGCATGGTCATCCCTGGACGCTTCCGGTACAGAGCCTGAAGGGGGCGACACACACACACCTCAGTCCTGGATCTACAGCCAAAATACAGTATATCTATATACGTTTATATTTACTGCTGCTCTTATGAAGCAACTACAGGACCAGAGAGAGACCAGAGAGAGACCAGACAAAGAGAACAGAGAGAGACCAGAGAGCGACCTGACAGAGAGACCAGAGAGAGACTATAGAGAGAGAGACCAGAAAGAGAATCTAGAAAGAAAGAACAAAGCAAGAAGCTAGAATCTGTTGTTGGTGAATCGACAACTTTGTAAAGTCCTCTGAGAAAACGGTTGTTGTGATTTAGGACGAGACAGCTGCCGGGGTGGACAGTACTCACATCAAACTGTTGCAGCAGTGTGCCCGTGCTCAGTCCCTCTCGCAGCGCGCTCATGGAGTCTCGGAGCGCGTTCTGGTCCACGCTGCGCTCCAGACTCTGCTCTGGAATGTACTGGAACTCCGGCTCTGAGTCCTTCTCCTCCCCCACCTCATACATGGCTGCAACACAGGGTTCAGACACTGAGACCAGGGTCCAGGACTGAGACTAAGACTGAGGCCACGGCTGAAACCAGGGCTGAAACCAGGGACTGAGACCGGGACTGAGACCAACACTAAGACCAGAGCCCAGCCTAAGAGTAGGAAGTAGAGACCAGACCAGGACAAAGACCAGATCAGAGTTAGACTAAAACACAAGGGCACTCATACTCCTACTAGTGCTATTGCCATAATACAGTTACAACTACGGTTTCTACTACTACACTCTAGACCTGGTCACAGGGACTAAGAGCAGAGACCAGACCAGGACTGAACCTTTGGACTGGGGCTTCTCACCGTTGGGTCGCACCAGCAACACCAGCTCCCCGGAGTGGCTCTCGCAGCTGGCCTTAATGAACATCACAACCTGGTCGTGCGTGTGTTCGGAGATGTCTCTGCCATTGATCAGCAGAACCTGGTCTCCCTCATTCAGCCGCGGGACGCACAGGTCAGCCTGTGGGAAGACCACAGTTCAGTACCGAACACAAGACCCAGAGAGGGACAACATGTTGAGACTCACCGAGGTCCCAGGGGCCACTCTGGAGACAAGGATGGGCATCTTCTGATCGGCTCCTCCCTGAACACACACATCCACTTTTATACAATAATACAGCTAATATTACTATTTATACTACTGCTACTACCGTTACTACTACTGGTACTACTACAATTACTAATACTACAGCAGCTCCCTCTTGTAGTAGAGCTTTCTTGTACCTTGACGTTGAAACCGAAGCGCCCATGTTCGTCCGGTCTCATCTTGATCAGTACCAGGTTTTCATGCGGCACCACGCCATTTAGCTGAAAAAAGGAGAGAAGATGAGAGGAGCCAAAGTAAGACCTGGTCCACAACAGAAGACATATTCTAGACCTGGTCCATAACAGAGGACACATTCTAGACCTGGTCCACAACAGAGGACACATTCTAGACCTGGTCCACAACAGAGGACACACTCTGGACCTGTTTACAGTGTGTACCTTCTACTTTAGCAGTTACATTTTCTTGACTTTGTGACAGTGGCGTCTGCTGTATCCATAGAATGTAAATAACACAGACAGCAAACAGCTTATTTCTCTTTCAAACGGGCTCGCACTGGTGGTGACCGTAACCCTGCTGCTGACTGTGTGTGTCTGGGATAATTGTGACGCTTTATACACTTTCAGATCGATGACGCAGACTAACAACAAAAACAAAAAACTAACAACTCATATCTGCTGTACGACATTTACTTTTTCCAAAACAAAAACAATAGACAATAGAACCAGCCCTTGTCCTCCGAGCGCCCACAGTGTAAATCCCAGATTATAATCCTGGTGACGAGTCTGTGGCTCCGGTGACAGTGTAATACCAAATTTAAATCCAAGTCATGACAGAAAAGAACGTAATCCAGAAAGTCAAAAGTTGAGTTTGGGCAGACGCACACTCACTCCAGCGAAACCATGTGTCCATGTAAAGATGTAGACAAACCATTTCTGTACTAGAAAATACAGTTTTATACTTGCTTCTTTATTGTGCTGAAAGAGATTTTATATTATTTTAGTCTAGAGTTATTGTTAATTTATCTTATGTTGTGTACTCCTCATTCCTACTGTTCCGTAACTGTGATGCAACACTGACATTTCCCCGATGTGGGACCAATAGAGGTGGTACTGACCCTGGTACTGACCCAGGTACTGACTGTTCATCATGCTTCCTTTTCATATTCAGTCTGTGTGTGTGTGTGTGTGTGTGTGTGTGTGTGTGTGTGTGTGTGTGTGTGTGTGTGTGTGTGTGTGTGTGTGTGTGTGTGTGTGTGTGTGTGTGTGTGTGTGTGTGTGTGTGTGTGTGTGTGTGTGTGTGTGTGTGTGTGTGTGTGTGTGTGTGTGTGTGTGTGTGTTGTTGCTGGTATGGTATTCGAGTCTTTCTTTTATCTGATTCGAGTTTTTGTTTTTGTGCCAACTCGCTTTGGTTGAGACACCAGTTGATATAGAAGTACTTCTTCTGGTACTTCCCCTGGTACCTCATCTGGTACTGACCATGGTACTGAGCCTGACCCTGATACCTCCCCTGGTACTGACCCTGATACCTCCCCCTGGTACTGACCCTGATCCTGGTACATCCCCTTGGTAGCTCCCCTGGTACTGACCGTGGTGGCCTCCCCCGCTGGTGTGTCGTACAGCTCGTTCAGGTGATTGTCCAGACTCTGTTGTGAATGCGCCTTGATGATCTCGCTCAGGGTCTTTCTGCTCAGCTGTTTGGGCGGCAGGGCAGGAGGCTGACCGTCCACGCCGTCCGGAGACCTGTTGAATGGAGTAAGAGACGACCAGGATGAGCCCAGACTGCAGTCATTAAAACCATGTGCAAGTGTTTGAATTCAGTTCTTACGGAGAGGAGTCCAGCGAGAGGCTGTTGGCCTGTGTGGACGACGCCGACTTGTGATTGGAGGAGAAAACAGGAAGTGACGGCGAGGAGTGGATCACATGGTCGACCAGGTGACCCACGGACGAGGGGCGCACGCGGGGACCATCAGACACGAACAGGGAGTTTCTGCAGAACCAGACACAATTACAATTTATATGTGGTCTTGCGCTCTCTGGTCTCACTCGCTCTCTGGTCTCACTCTCTCTCTGGTCTCACTCGATCTCTGGTCTCACTCGATCTCTGGTCCCACTCTCTCTCTGGTCTCACTCTCTCTCTGGTCTCACTCTCTCTCTGGTCTCACTCTCTCTCTGGTCTCACTCTCTCTCTGGTCTCACTCTCTCTCTGGTCTCACTCTCTCTCTGGTCTCACTCTCTCTCTGGTCTCACTCGCTCTCTGGTCTCACTTGCTCTCTGGTCTCACTCGCTCTCTGGTCTCACTCGCTCTCTGGTCTCACTCGCTCTCTGGTCTCACTCTCTCTCTGGTCTCACTCCCTCTCTGATCACCTTTCTGGTCTTTCTCTCTGGTCTCTCTCTCACTCACTCTTAGGGGGTCCCTGTGTGGTGCTCGACTCACTCTTTGGGGGTCCCTGTGTGGTGCTTGACTCACTCTTTGGGGGTCCCTGTGTGGTGCTTGACTCACTCTTTGGGGGTCCCGGGGGGAGATCTGTTTGGTAAACTTCTCGTCTCCAGTCGTTCCTCAGATAAAGAGTTTCTGCTCACACACTCCCAGTCTGACCCTGACACCAGCTTACGACACAGAGGCTTGGACGGGGATCTGTAACACACACACACACACACACAAATGAGGACCAGAGAGACACACACACACAAACGAGGACCAGAGATACACTCACACACATATGAGGGCCAGAGACAATAACACACAAATATAAGGACCAGAGAGACACACATGTGAGGACACACACACATACAAATTAGGACCACACATTAATACTAGGGCTGTCAAAGTTATCGCGTTAACACGCCTTAATTAATTTTTTTCATGAATTGCGTTTAAAAAAAAATCACGCTTTTAACGCACAATGAAACAGTCCGTCTCCCCCGTGTCTTGTCCCAAAGTGAAAAAAGACGCTAAATTAAAGCTGGGGTAGCTAACTTTTCCTTTGCACTACCATTTCATGTTGTTTTTGCCCAAAAGTGAAATGTTGTGAGCAAATCAAACAGATTTAATGACAGCCATTGGCTGACATGCTTTTCAGACTTTTTTCAAATGTCTCTCATCCCTGTAACAAACTATAGTTTGTAGAGGCACAAAAATGAAGAGGATCCTTTATGAGACAGAGAAGAAGAGGCTTTAGCAGATGATATGAGACAGAGAAGAAGAGGAGTCTTTAGCAGATGATATGAGACAGAGAAGAAGAGTCTTTAGCAGATGATATGAGACAGAGAAGAAGAGGAGGAGTATTTAGCAGATGATATGAGACAGAGAAGAAGAGGAGGCTTTAGCAGATGATATGAGACAGAGAAGAAGAAGAAGAGGAGTCTTTAGCAGATGATATGAGACAGAGAAGAAGAGGAGGAGGCTTTAGCAGATGATATGAGACAGAGAAGAAGAGGAGGAGGCTTTAGCAGATGATATGAGACAGAGAAGAAGAGGAGGAGTCTTTAGCAGATGATATGAGACAGAGAAGAGGAGGAGGCTTTAGCAGATGATATGAGACAGAAGAAGAAGAAGAGGAGTCTTTAGCAGATGATATGAGACAGAGAAGAAGATGAGGAGTCTTTAGCAGATGATATGAGACAGAGAAGAAGAGTCTTTAGCAGATGATATGAGACAGAGAAGAAGAGTCTTTAGCAGATGATATGAGACAGAGAAGAAGAGTCTTTAGCAGATGATATGAGACAGAGAAGAAGAGGAGGAGTATTTAGCAGATGATATGAGACAGAGAAGAAGAGGAGGCTTTAGCAGATGATATGAGACAGAGAAGAAGAAGAAGAGGAGTCTTTAGCAGATGATATGAGACAGAGAAGAAGAAGAAGAAGAGTCTTTAGCAGATGATATGAGACAGAGAAGAAGAGGAGGAGGCTTTAGCAGATGATATGAGACAGAGAAGAAGAGGAGGAGGCTTTAGCAGATGATATGAGACAGAGAAGAAGAGGAGGAGTCTTTAGCAGATGATATGAGACAGAGAAGAAGAGGAGGCTTTAGCAGATGATATGAGACAGAAGAAGAAGAAGAGGAGTCTTTAGCAGATGATATGAGACAGAGAAGAAGAGGAGGAGGCTTTAGCAGATGATATGAGACAGAGAAGAAGAGTCTTTAGCAGATGATATGAGACAGAGAAGAAGAGTCTTTAGCAGATGATATGAGACAGAGAAGAAGAGGAGGAGTATTTAGCAGATGATATGAGACAGAGAAGAAGAGGAGGCTTTAGCAGATGATATGAGACAGAAGAAGAAGAAGAGGAGTCTTTAGCAGATGATATGAGACAGAGAAGAAGAAGAAGAGGAGTCTTTAGCAGATGATATGAGACAGAGAAGAAGAGGAGGAGGCTTTAGCAGATGATATGAGACAGAGAAGAAGAAGAAGAGGAGTCTTTAGCAGATGATATGAGACAGAGAAGAAGAAGAAGAGGAGGCTTTAGCAGATGATATGAGACAGAGAAGAAGAAGAAGAGTCTTTAGCAGATGATATGAGACAGAGAAGAAGAGGAGGAGTCTTTAGCAGATGGTATGAGACAGAAGAAGAAGAAGAGGAGTCTTTAGCAGATATGAGACAGAAGAAGAAGAAGAGGAGTCTTTAGCAGATGATATGAGACAGAGAAGAAGAGGAGGAGGCTTTAGCAGATGATATGAGACAGAGAAGAAGAGTCTTTAGCAGATGATATGAGACAGAGAAGAAGAGTCTTTAGCAGATGATATGAGACAGAGAAGAAGAGGAGGAGTATTTAGCAGATGATATGAGACAGAGAAGAAGAGGAGGCTTTAGCAGATGATATGAGACAGAGAAGAAGAAGAAGAGGAGTCTTTAGCAGATGATATGAGACAGAGAAGAAGAGGAGGAGGCTTTAGCAGATGATATGAGACAGAGAAGAAGAGGAGGAGTCTTTAGCAGATGATATGAGACAGAGAAGAAGAGGAGGCTTTAGCAGATGATATGAGACAGAGAAGAAGAAGAAGAGGAGTCTTTAGCAGATGATATGAGACAGAGAAGAAGAGGAGGAGTATTTAGCAGATGATATGAGACAGAGAAGAAGAGGAGGCTTTAGCAGATGATATGAGACAGAGAAGAAGAAGAAGAGGAGTCTTTAGCAGATGATATGAGACAGAGAAGAAGAGGAGGAGGCTTTAGCAGATGATATGAGACAGAGAAGAAGAGGAGGAGTCTTTAGCAGATGATATGAGACAGAGAAGAAGAAGAAGAGGAGTCTTTAGCAGATGATATGAGACAGAAAAGAAGAGGAGGAGGCTTTAGAGCAGATGATATGAGACAGAGAAGAAGAAGAGGAGGCTTTAGCAGATGATATGAGACAGAGAAGAAGAGGAGGAGGCTTTAGCAGATGATATGAGACAGAGAAGAAGAAGAGGAGGCTTTAGCAGATGATATGAGACAGAGAAGAAGAGGAGGAGTCTTTAGCAGATGATATGAGACAGAGAAGAAGAGTCTTTAGCAGATGATATGAGACAGAGAAGAAGAGTCTTTAGCAGATGATATGAGACAGAGAAGAAGAGGAGGAGGCTTTAGCAGATGATATGAGACAGAGAAGAAGAGGAGGAGGCTTTAGCAGATGATGTGAGACAGAGAAGAAGAAGAAGAGGAGGCTTTAGCAGATGATATGAGACAGAGAAGAAGAAGAAGAGGCTTTAGCAGATCCGGAAAAAATAGTGTCTAAACAGAAAGACAGAATGTTAATAATGGTAATGCCATTTTATGTGGATTTATTGTTATAATAAACAAATACAGTACATATGTTCACAATGTCATCATTTATCTTTCCATTCAAACAACCATTTACGGAAAAAAATGGCATCATTTTGCCGATAGTTAATAATTAATTTTTAAGCTGTAATTCCCTCGATTAAAATTTGTAATCGTTTGACAGCCCTAATTAATACACATGGGGACCAGACACACACACTTACATATATATGAGGACCAGAGAGTGAGACACATACACATGAGGATCAGACCCACACATACATACAGTATGAGGACCAGACACACACACACAAACACAAGACCAGACCAGACACACATACACACACGATGACCACACACAAATACCTGGCAAACACTCGGTCTTTGATACACTTCTCTTTCCCGTACTGAACCGACTGCACCTCCGTCCGACCACTGTAACAGCACACACAAGCATGTCAGTAACACCCACACACACACAGACACACACACACACACACACACTTCTCACCAGTATCTGAACTTGGAGCCCAGGCTGAAGTAGTGGCTGAAGAAGTTCTTGTTTGCAGGTAGGGGGCGCTCTAGTCTGAAGAAGGTGTGATGCTCCACACAGGCTTTCCACAGGTTCTTACAGGCGCGATAGTTCAGCATGTGGAAGCCCAGCAGCGTCTCCCTCGACTCACACTGGAGGAGGAGGTGAGAGGAGGTCAGAGAGGAGGTGAGAGAGCAGGGGTCAGAGAGGAGGACGTGAGAGAGGAGGAGGTGAGAGGAGGTCAGAGAGGTGAGAGAGGAGGAGGTGAGAGGAGGACAGAGAGGAGGTGAGAGAGGAGGGGTCAGAGAGGAGGACGTGAGAGAGGAGGAGGTGAGAGGAGGTCAGAGAGGTGAGAGAGGAGGAGGTGTGAGGAGGTCAGAGAGGAGAGCGAGGAGGAGGTTAGAGAGGAGAGAGAGGAGGTTAGAGAGGAGGGGTCAGAGAGGAGGAGGAGAGAGAGGAGGGGTCAGAGAGGAGGACGTGAGAGAGGAGGAGGTGAGAGGAGGTCAGAGAGGAGAGCGTGGAGGAGGTTAGAGAGGAGAGAGGAGGGGGTTAGAGGAAGTCAGAGAGGAGGAGGTGAGAAAGGAGGGGGTCAGAAAGAGGTGAGAGAGGAGGTGTGAGGGGAGGTGACAGAGGAGGGGTCAGAGAGGAGGACGTGAGAGAGGAGGAGGTGAGAGGAGGTCAGAGAGGAGAGCGAGGAGGAGGTTAGAGAGGAGAGAGGAGAGGGTTAGAGGAAGTCAGAGAGGAGGAGGTGAGAGAGGAGGGGGTCAGAAAGAGGTGAGAGGAGGGGGTCAGGGAGGAGGTGTGAGGGGAGGTGACAGAGGAGGGGTCGGAGAGGATGTGAGAGAGGAGAACAATGAGGAGGTGAGAGAAAAGAAGGAAGTCAGAGAGGAGGTGAGGAGGAGCGGAGAGAGGAAGATGTGAGAGAGGTCTTGTATAATATATATAATGGCTTCTCCCTGTGCTCCTGAATGCCTCTGTTGGCCGTGTCTCAGTAGGATCTGGTTTCCGTGGTTACATGACTGTTTACATGAGTCTGTTCTACATCATTAAATTGGATCTCACCACTTCTCTGCGCAGCTGGATGAAGAACTGTTTACATTTGAAGGAAATCTTCACAATTTTCAACCTGAAAAAAACAGAAACAAGGAAGAGATTATGCAGTAGAAGTACCAGTATCAGTAGTAGTAGTAGTAGCAGTAACAATAATAGTAATAGTAGTAGTATCAGTAGAATCAATAGTACTAGTTGTAGTAGTATCAATAGTAGTAGTAGTAGTAGTAGTAGAATTCTCACCAGGGGAAGTAGTTGATCCGGATTCGGTTCTTGTAGACCAGAACTCCTCCAGACTGGACCCCAAGGAGGATCTCGGTCTGGCTCTGGTCTCGAGCCCAGTGCAGCTCCACCCCGTATAGATCCAGAGACCGAGCCGTGTCCAGGTACTGGTATTCAGCCTGGGCAGGAGTGAGACCGCTGTGGACCAGGGAGACTGGGTTAGGACCAGGGAGGGACCAGGGAGAGACCAGAGAGAGACACCAGAGAGAGACCATAGAGAGACCAGTCATCAGTACCAGCAGTAGCAGTACACAGACCTGTGTTGCTGGTGGTGCTTGCAGACTTCCCGGTGGAAATCCTGAGGAGGGTTTGGGATGAAGTTGAACTCTGACAGATACTCTCCCACCACATGCTCCTCCTCACAGTAATCTCCCAACTCCGCTGTGGGGACACAAGACACTATCAAGACCAAAGTCCCAGAGAGAGAGGAGAGAGAGAGAGGAGAGAACGAGAGAAGAGAAGAGAGGGAAGAGAGAGACCAGAGAGAGGGAGAGAGACCAGAGAGAGGGAAGAGAGACCAGAGAGAGGGAGAGAGAGAGAAGAGAGGGAAGAGAGAGGAGAGAGTGAGACCAGAAAGACAGACCAGACCAAGACAAAAGTCCCACATACAGGTGGAGATTGTGCTGCAGTGTGCAGCAGTGTGTATCAGTGTGCAGCAGTGTGTATCAGTGTGTAGCAGTGTATAGCAGTGTATAGCAGGGTGTAGCAGGGTGTAGCAGTGTGTATCAGTGTGTAGCAGTGTTTAGCAGTGTGCAGCAGTGTATAGCAGGGTGTAGCAGTGTGTATCAGTGTGTAGCAGTGTGTAGCAGTGTGCAGCAGTGTATAGCAGTGTATAGCAGTGTGCAGCAGTGTATAGCAGTGTGTAGCAGTGTGTATCAGTGTGTAGCAGTGTATAGCAGTGTATAGCAGTGTGCAGCAGTGTATAGCAGTGTGTAGCAGTGTGTAGCAGTGTGTATCAGTGTGTATCAGTATGTATCAGTGTGTAGCAGTGTATAGCAGTGTGCGGCAGTGTGCAGCAGTGTATAGCAGTGTGTGGCAGTGTGCGGCAGTGTGCAGCAGTGTGCAGCAGTGTGCAGCAGTGTGTAGCAGTGTGTATCAGTGTGTATCAGTATGTATCAGTGTGTAGCAGTGTATAGCAGTGTGCGGCAGTGTGCGGCAGTGTGCAGCAGTGTGCAGCAGTGTGCAGCAGTGTATAGCAGTGTGTCTTCTGCACTTACACTGGACGGCGTAGGAGGCCAGCAGGGCAGCGGTGTTGTGGGGACAGGGCAGACTGTGAGCAAACACACACAGAGTCAGAAACATGTGGAGAGAAAGAAATGTGGAGTAAGAGATGACCAACCGTCCAGTCAGAATGTCCTGTTTGATCTGCAGGAAGAACTGGTACCTGCAACACACACACACACACACACAGAACAACACACACACACACACACAGTGTTATTGACAAAGTTACAGATTTATTCATATAATTAATCAGTTCAGTTTTAATGAATCAAATAAATGTCACATGCCACATGAGTGCATGATACTTTGAGTAGTAGTAGTATTTGTAATACTAGTAAGCAGTAGCAGTAGCAGTAGCAGAAGCAGAAGCAGTAGCAGTAGCAGAAGCAGTAGCAGCAGTAGCAGTAGTAGCAGTAGCAGTAGCAGTAGCAGAAGTAGTAGCAGTAGCAGCAGTAGTAGCAGTAGCAGTAGCAGTAGCAGCAGTAGTAGCAGTAGTAGCAGAAGTAGTAGCAGTAGTAGTAGCAGTAGCAGTAGCAGCAGCAGCAGTAGTAGCAGTAGTAGCAGAAGTAGTAGCAGTAGCAGCAGTAGTAGCAGTAGTAGCAGAAGTAGTAGCAGTAGCAGCAGTAGTAGCAGAAGTAGTAGCAGTAGCAGCAGTAGTAGCAGTAGTAGCAGTAGTAGTAGCAGTAGCAGTAGAAGTAGTAGCAGTAGCAGTAGAGCAGTCTCACCGTGTGTACTCCTCCTGCAGTTTGCTCGGATCACTCACAAAGAACTTCACCCTGAAGCTGAGACTGTGCGGAGACCCTCCTGAAATCATGTGACATAAACACAAATATGTAAACGACAGACAAAATGTATGTATTAAGTTTGTAAATATACACATACATACAGATTATATATAAACATACATACACATACATTCAAATGAGGACCAGAAACACACACAAACCCACACACATGTGAGGACCAGACACACACACACACACACATATACAGTGGGGCAAAAAAGTATTTAGTCAGCCACCGATTGTGCCAGTTCTCCCACTTAAAATAATGACAGAGGTCTGTAATGTTCATCATAGTTTCACTTCAACTGTGAGAGACAATGTGAACAAAAAAATCTAGGAATTCACATTGTAGGATTTTTAAAGAATTTATTTGTAAATTATGGTGGAAAATAAGTATTTGGTCACTTCAAACAAGGAAGATCTCTGGCTCTCACAGACCTGTAACTTCTTCTTTAAGAAGCTCTTCTGTCCTCCACTCGTTACCTGTATTAATGGCACCTGTTTGAACTCATCTGTATAAAAGACACCTGTCCACAGCCTCAAACAGTCAGACTCCAAACTCCACTATGGCCAAGACCAAAGAGCTGTCGAAGGACACCAGGAAAAGAATTGTAGCAAGGCAAATAGGCAAGCAGCTTGGTGTGAACAAATCAACTGTGGGAGCAATTATCAGAAAATGGAAGACATACAAGACCACTGATAATCTCCTTCAATCTGGGGCTCCACGCAAGATCTCATCCCGTGGGGTTAAAATGATCATGAGAACGGTGATCAAATATCCCAGAAGCACACGGGGGGACCTGGTGAATGACCTGCAGAGAGCTGGGACCAAAGTAACAAAGGTTACCATCAGTAACACACTACGACGACAGGGAATCAAATCCTGCAGTGCCAGACGTGTCCCCCTGCTGAAGCCAGTGCATGTCCAGGCCCGTCTGAAGTTTGCCAGAGAGGACGATACAGCAGAGGATTGGGAGAATGTCATGTGGTCAGATGAAACCAAAGTAGAACTGTTTGGTATAAACTCAACTCGTCGTGTTTGGAGGAAGAAGAATACTGAGTTGCATCCCAAGAACACCATACCTACTGTGAAGCATGGGGGTGGAAACGTCATGCTTTGGGGCTGATTTTCTGCTAAGGGGACAGGACGACTGATCCGTATTAAGGGCAGAATGAATGGGGCCCTGTATTGGGAGATTTTGAGCCAAAACCTCCTTCCATCAGTGAGAGCTTTGAAGATGAACCGTGGCTGGGTCTTCCAGCATGACAATGATCCCAAACACACTGCCCGGGCAACAAAGGAGTTGCTCCGTAAGAAGCATTCGAAAGTCCTGGAGTGGCCTCGCCAGTCTCCAGACCTCAACCCCATTGAAAATCTGTGGTGGGAGTTGGAAGTCTGTGTTCACTGCTCTCGAGAAGATCTGCATGGAGGAATGGGCCAAAAAACCATCTACTGTGTGTGCAAACCTGGTAAAGACCTATAGTAATCGTTTGACCTCTGTTATTGCCAACAAAGGTTATATTGTAAAGTATAGAGTTGAATTTTTGTTATTGACCAAATACTTATTTTCCACCATAATTTACAAATAAATTCTTTAAAAATCTGTAAAAAATTACAGACCTCTGTCATTATTTTAAGTGGGAGAACTTGCACAATCGGTGGCTGACTAAATACTTTTTTGCCCCACTGTATATGGGGACCAGTGACACAGACACACATATGAGGACTAGGGATGTAAATCGGTGACCGTTTAACCGGTGGTTGACCGTCACAGCGTTAACCGGTCAAAGCTGTCGGTTAAAAATAAGAAAAAGCGGAGAGGGGAGGTCTCTTAATAAGGCTATTTTAAGCCCTATTTGTACGATGTGACGAGCGGGTCCGTATCTAGCTGTGTGCGCCAATGCATTAGTAGACTACGGGCGACTTTCATGGTGCACGCTCCACATATGCACGCAGCCACGCACACGCACGCGCGCGCGCACACACACACACACATACACATACACACACAAACACTTTCCCCCTCTCCATACGTAACATCCACACGCATCATCTCTCCCCTCTGTTACCGCCAAAGTTCCACACTAGTGCAGGTCAGAACTACATTGGAGCTTATATTTACACACACATACATACATGTATTGTACACACACACATACCGGTCTGTCGCGCACCTCTGTGTCTCGCAGCCCAAAGAATCCTCGCAAATACGCGGCTCCAGTCAAACACATGAAACATGTTTGTGCTGCTGGTCCTTGTCATTAGATCAGATCCACACACATCACTTTTAAACTTTAGCGGAGACGCGGGGTGTAACTCGCTGCTCTGACCATGTGAACAAGCCGTCTTTTGCTTAAAAATGCTTTAACCCGCAGCACAGAATGGGAAGATTAAAAAAGCAGTTCTCTGTGCGCAAAGGTGCCGAAGCTGTTGCGGGATTTGGCGCCGCTGTCTCAGCTCTGATCTAGTAGAACGCATAGATACACTTATGAAAAGCACGCGGCTCGAAATGGCTGCTATTTTAAAGAACGTGGAATATTTTAAACTACGTGGTTAACCGGTTTCAACCGGTTAATGAGGCTCGGTGGTCGGTCATGAAAATGCATAGTTTTTTACATCCCTAATGAGGACTAGACACACAGACACTTATGGGGACTAGAGACAAACAGACGGTGTATGAGACTCACTCCGGAGCTGTTTCCTGATTGTTTTGTTCGGGTCGAGCCATCGCTGAAAAAAAACAAAAAAAGAACACAAACAAAGATCAAAGAGTATTCAGCTGTTAAGTTATTATCATAAAATGAATCTTTCTGCACTGTGGGGACTTCTGCGCACACACATACACACACAAAAAGTGCGTTCTCACCGGGGCGTCTGTGGCCTCGTCGTTCAGGTGGAGGCCAAAATAATCCCTCTCTGTGAGCTCCAGCTGAGTGAAGACCAGGTCCAGCAGCAGCTGACCGAGGTCCGACTTCTGCAACACAAAAGACAACACACAACTGAGACCAGGCGGCCCTTAGAACAGCACCTGGTCCAGTGCCCGACCTGGGTCCTGGGCCGGCTCCACTGGGACCATAACACTGTGTAACTCAGAGCCAACACCACTCATTAGCCTCATTGTGCTGTGGGGCTGCTGTTCTTCAGCAGGGACAGGGAAGAGTGTTAGAGCGGATGTACACAATCATC